CAGCTCCCCAGCACATGTCTAAATTGCTGCTCTGGATGTCAAACAAAGGCTCGCATCCATCTTTAAGTGGCGCGTCTTTTTTTTTTTTTTTTAATAGCAAAGGTTAATGCAGCAGAATTCTGCTTTCAAACCAAGTGCCCAGCAGCTACGTAGCGATTTTATTCACTCATAACTCCGCCGTCGCCCTCTCTCCATCAAACACATTTACAATAAAATCAGTATGGATTTCATTAGCTGAAAACCTCCTCGAATTTCACTTCTTGGGCCCTAATCTATAATTAGTGTGGACAGACAGGTGCAGGCCCGGCTCCTCCACAGATGGCTACTGGGAAGGCTGCAGGGAGCTCCTTCTGTTTAAACACCGAGCAGATAACCTGCTCCTCTTATCGCTCACAATTACCGCCATTACACCCAACCGATGTTTGCTTTAATAAAACGCTCGCTGTTCTTTAAACATTATTTAGGAACTCTTATATTAATAGGTGTAAGAAGAAGAAGAAGAAGAAGAAGAAGAAGCAGCAGCAGCAGCAGCAGCAGCAGCGAGGTGGGAAGATGACTGATGCTGAGTAAAATGTTCCCAGCAATGGCTCACTAAGGCGTTAGTTAATGGCCTTCACGGTTCTTCTGCATACATAGGGTTAACTGTAATGTTTTTTTTTTTTTAAGGCATTTTAGTGATAAACACTATCTAACAAGTAAAGTGGGAAGAAACTTCACATTTTCCTGAGGTTCAGAAAGGATGAGACGGTTCATTTTTTTTTTCTTATAGATTTTAACTGGTTATTAAAGTACGTAACTGAAAATGTTAGATCCTTTTCAAAAGAGATTCATGGATTCATGGTAACCTCATGTTATGTATTTATTTCCCTTCTTATGGATTATTCGGAAAGTTGTACGAGTTCATCATTTTAAGGGACATGTTAGCAACAGACTATGAATGTGAGTGTATGGTGTAAGCACATGGTTAAAAATAAATCCACTCCATAATAAATAACTTCTGTAAAGTCAGACATCACTTCTTCCTCCTCCTGCTAACAATAAAGCCTATGGAACTCCATGTGATTAATAAGCTGCATATAAAGCAAGGGATTTTAAATGCCCAAACAGCAACAAATAAATATCTTTTCTCACCGAGCTTATGTAACTTAGCGGTAACAGACTCCAGTAAAATGCTACTGACTCGTTTGTTTTTTTTCACATGCAAATCCTGCAGGTGCCAATTTTTCAGACTGCTTTCCTGTGAAGGGCTATGCTGCCTGCTAAAACCTCAATGAAGGAGGCTTTGCATTCAGTGCCTGTCAGCTGATGTTCACATCAAAGAAGCAAGAAACAGGATTTGACATGAAGAATGTTCTCAACTGACAACCACTGACCAGTATTCCTATTAGAAGCATTGCTTTCTCGTGATCCCTTTTCAATGTGTAGTATTAAAAAAAAAAAAAAAGGTTTTGTTTTGTTTTCTGCTAAGATTCTATTTTACAATAAAATAAATAATAATGGCACTTTACATTTGTGTAGTTCTCTGCCAATTTCGAAGTGCTCCTTTATCTGCAAATATTTAGACTCACATCCTCAGGGAGATAGCTCAGCATCAGATACCAGACCAGCATCAAGAGCAGTATTTTACTTTATTTTAGAAAGGGAAAACTGTAAAAATATTAAAAAGCTGCAGAACATACCATCCTACCACTTCCAGCGACTTGCAATTAATAGCACAGTTTGCATTGTATAGCAAGGAGAATGCTTCTTATTAGAAAAGCCCTTTTAAGGCTCATTTTTTTTTTTTTAAATCAAATCATTAGCAGCTGTGAGTGGGTCACAGATTACTTGAGGGATGAACCCGGTCACTGGAGAAACTACACAGTCAAATTCTCCCACTCAACACTCAGCTTTGCAAAGAAGGTGACTGCTGTTTAAATGATGTGTAATAAAATCAATGCTTAAACAAAGACTTTTCATATAAAGAGTCACTTTCCATGCACTCAAAATAAGCCAGACTCTTAGGTATTTTTTTGCTTGCTTTTTTTTGGGGGGGTGGGGTGGGGTGGGGTTGGGTGGAATTTTGTCTTTTGAAAGAATAAACCAAGGAAATACCAAATGCTAAATGCAGTCCATGTAAAGAAATGATAGACTTGAACTTCCTCAACATCCATCCTAGCTGCAAAAACCAGCCTGGGTCCCACGGAGATGCCAACATTAACACTGGTTAAGCCTGTCAGTCCTCCCTTTACAAACAGCCATGGGGAAAGTAAAAGGAAGGGGCGGGGGATCAGAGAGCCCTACCTATGTTATCTGAAAGCCCCCAGCATGGGAAAACACGACTGCATTTTTCCAGTTAAAGACGCGGGGAGGGAAGTCGGAGAATTCTGAATGTGCTCCTGCTCGCACACATCACAGCTGACTTAAACACCCAGGCTGGGGTTCCTCTGCTCTAGGAAAACAATGGTGTTTGTCAACCTGTCCGAGGAGCTGTGTGACAGGAGACCCGCACGGCCAAGGCAAAAAACGCTGCCATAAACTGAAAGCAGGCCCCCGACACTAACAAACCATTTATCACCGAGCAGCCAGGCCATTTGTATTCCAGCCAGGGTGCCCTCACCGGGCACAGACCCAGTTCCACTCTGTTCCATGCACAGTAGGGGGGTAGGCGGCGGGGGGGGGGGGGGGGGAGGGGGGATGATAAAAGCCACTGAGCGCACTTAAAAACGTTACAGATGTTTTAAAGGGGACCAGGAGAGGGGGAGCCTGTAAAACAGATTTCAGCCCGCGGAGAAGGTAGAGGGAAAATGCTTCGGTCAGCAGCCCGGCCTCTATCGGGGGATAAATCAATGAGCAGCAGCTGCGGACAGCCACTTACACCAGACCCCAGGCAGATTAATTAAGGGGAGGGCAGCGACAGATTCCCGGGGCTCAGAGGCACACGGAGCACTTGAAGTTGGGCTGGAGCGGCCTCTCAGGCTCTCCTGGTCCCCACGGCCTGTCCCCACTGGTCCCCATGGCCTGTCCCCCTGGTCCCCACGGCCTGTCCCCCCTGGTCCCCACGGCCTGTCCACCCTGATCCCCCCTGGTCCCCATGGCCTGGCCCTCCTGGTCCCCACGGCCTGTCCCACCTGGTCCCCATGGCCTGTTCCCCCTGGTCCTCTCGGCCTGGCCCTCCTGGACCCCATGGCCTGGCCCTCCTGGTCCTCTCGGCCTGGCCCCCCTGGTCCCCATGGCCTGGCCCTTCTGGTTCCCATGGCCTGGCCCCCCTGGTCCTCTCGGCCTGGCCCCCCTGGTCCCCACGGTTTGTCCCCCCTGGTCCCCACGGCCTGGCCCCCCTGGTCCCCATGGCCTGGCCCTCCTGGTCCCCTCGGCCTGTCCCCCCTGGTCCCCACGGCCTGGCCCCCTGGTCCCCATGGCCTGGCCCTCCTGGTCCCCTCGGCCTGTCCCCCCTGGTCCCCATGGCCTGGCCCTCCTGGTCCCCTCGGCCTGTCCCCCCTGGTCCCCACGGCCTGGCCCCCCTGGTCCCCATGGCCTGGCCCTCCTGGTCTCCATGGCCTGGCCCCCCTGGTCCTCTCGGCCTGCCCCTGGCCTTGGGGACGGTCCTGCCGCGGGGTGTGCCAGCTACCCCTTAAAGCCACGTTTACAGATGCTCAGGAGGCAGCAGCCAGGCTTGGGGGGAGGAGGGCAGAGGGGGGTAAGACGTTTGGGATTTGAGGTGCCCCATCTCGGAGAAAAGCTCTGCTCCGAGGATTCCTCATGACGCTTTGCACGGTTTGAGGAGACCGAGGGCTGCGAGGTCCCCGGGCCAAACCCTCCACTGAGAGGCGCGCGGGGCGGGGTGGGCAGCAGGTAATGCCAGTCACCGTCCCGGTCCCCGTCCTGCTCCCCCATCTCAGGGCTCCACTTTCCCCAGGCCTGACCTCGCTTTCCAAGAAAAAAAAGAGAGAGAGAGAGAGAGAGAGAGAGAGAGAGAGAGAGAGAGAGAGAGAGAGAGAGAGAGAGAGAGAGGAATTCGATGCCCAGATATCTGCATTTGGTTTAGGGCGTCCGGACCAGCGACAGGTCCGCCCGGGAGAGGATCCGGTGCGCCATCCGCCGGGTCCCCCCCACCCCCACCCCGGTTCGCGGGGAGAGACCCCGGGGGTCAGGGCTCGGCCATAGGGGCTTCTGGAAACCCAAACAGCCCCCCGCCCCGGGCCCCCGCCGGGCTCTCCGACTCCGGAGAGGGGCAGTGCCCAGGGGCTCGGACCCCGCAGGCCCGGGGGACCGGGTCCCGTCCCCCGACCGCAGCGCAGCCCAAGTTCAGAGCCGCCCTCCGCTCCCGGAGCCAAGTCTCCCAGCGCCTAGACCGCCTCTCCCTGACAGGCTTCCCAATAACCACCGCCGCCACCGCCACCGCCACCGCCACCGCCACCACCGCGCTGCGGGTCCGGGCCACCGGCCAACGCGCCCCGCGGGCGGCCGGTCCGGTGTCCGGTCGGCGATGGGGCCGGGGGACCAGGTCCCCTTCCTGCGCGCACGGCCCGGGGCGCGGAGGGAGGACCCCTGGCTGCCCCGGGATCCAGGGTCACCGCAGCCTGGGACCCGCCGCCCCGTCCCCGCGGCCAGTCCGCCCCGCGCCGAGCGGGCTGCGGGCTGCGGGCTGCGGGCTGCGGGCTCCGGACTGCGGGCAGCGGGCAGCGGGCAGCGGGCAGCGGGCTCCGGGCAGCGGGCAGCGGGCAGCGGGCAGCAGGCTCCGGGTTCCGGGCAGCGGGCAGCGGGCAGCGGGCTCCGGGCTGCGGGCTCCGGGCTGCGGGCTCCGGGCTGCGGGCTGCGGGCTCCGGGCTCCGGGCTGCGGACTCCGGGCTGCGGGCTGCGGGCTGCGGGCTGCGGGCTCCGGGCTGCGGGCTGCGGGCTGCGGGCTGCGGGCTGCGGTCCCCGGGCCGCACCCCCAACACCCAGCCGGCCATCGGACCCCCGGAGCGACGGCCCGCCCGGCCGGCTCCCTCCCGCCCCGGCCGGCTCCCTCCGGGACTCACGCTGCGCAGGGCCGGGGAGGCGCACCATCCGCCGCGGCTTCCAGATGCGAAGCAAACTTCCCGGCGTCCGGGCCGCCTCCTGCCTCCGGGGCCGGGGCCCCGCGGCCGCTCGCCCCGGGTCCGGGTCCGGCCGCCGGCCCGGCCGCCTCCGCGGAGCCCGGGCTGGGCTCCTCCGCCTCCGCCTCTGCTGCTGCTGCTGCGGCGGCCGGAGGCGATGCGGCGCGGCGATGGCGCGGAGAGTCCCCCCGCTCGGCCCGGGCGCCGCCGGTGTGTGCGGGGCGGGCGCCGGCGGAGCGGGGAGCGGGAGCGGGAGCGGGAGCGGGAGCGCCCACACCGGCCCCGCCGCCGCGCCCGCGCCCTGGGCGCCGCCACCGCACCGGGGGGCGGCGGGGAGGCGGGGAGGCGGCTACCGGGCGCGGGGGGCAGGGCTCCCGGCGGGGCGCGGGGGGGCGGCGGCGGCGGGAGACATCTGCGTGGGGCGGGGGTCAGGGGGTCAAGTGTATGTTCACAGGGGCAGTCCCGGCGGGCCGGGGCGGGAGGGGGCGCGGGGCTTCCCTCCTCCCTCCCCGCGGGCCTCCCTCCCGCGGCCTCGCCCTCTGGGTGCGGGCCGGAGCGGGCGGGCTGGCTCCCCGGGGCCGGGGTGCCCCGCCGTCACCCTAGCCGGCCACGCTCCCCGCCATCTGGGGCTCCGGCTGCCCCGCCCGTGCCCCTGGCCGGAGAGGCGGCTCTGCCAGGCAGCCAGGCGCTCCCAGATCCCCTGTCTAATCCCCTTCTGTTAGCTGCTTTACAGACTGTTTGCTCTCGCATTAGGTAATAGCCTGGGAGAAAACAGTTATTTTTTTTTTTCTCTCCTCTCCCCCTTTGTTTTTCTGCCTCTCCCATAGAATGAGACCCTGAAGAGGCACCTCTTTCTAGCTTAGGTGTTCCCCGCCCCCACGCGTGACTATCAATACTTCAGAAAGGGGAACTGGGGGGGACAAGATAGGGTGAAAGAATTCCAGATATTTCCAGAGTAAATAACCTCAGGGTGAGCAGGACTGATCATTTGTTTATACAGAGAGGGGGGGGGGGGGAGGCACTTAAATAATCATGAAAATATTAACATGCAAGTCAAATATGATCCGATCAGACCTTGCAATGGGGGAAAATGGCATCTCAAAATGATGGAATGGTGCCACTACCACAAATGTTATTATATTTAGTACGACAATTTGAAATCCTCCTCTAAATCATGTTTGCTTGTTTTTTTCCCCAAACTGGCCTGAATCAATCCAAAATGTCCCTTGTACCTGGTTTCTATATCTCGTCTTTACAAAGGAAAAAATACTTAAGACGGAGTCAGAGTCGGCCTTATACGGTGGGAATAATTTTAATTTTAAAAATGGCTCTTCAGAAATGTCATATCCCTTCCCCCACCCGTTTAACCCCAGCTGGAGCTTCCAATTCTGCAGTCTTTTCATACTCCACTAATTTTTAGCAATTCATTTCCAGAAAGACTCATTGTACATTCTTCCCTCTCCTTGGGACATTTGACTAATGAATTATAATGGGTTGGATTAATGAATTGTAATGTTAAGTCTTGGAATTTGATATTATGATGCAGTTCATTTGAATCTCAAATCTTATCAAGTTGTACATTCTGTAGTAGTTTCTGCATGTGCAGCTCATTTTTTTCTATCCTTGCAAATCTTAGTACTAATAATCTTCAAATGTAAAATTGTATGGACACTACTATAACGCCACTGTGTAGGAAATTGTGTCAAAGCACTTTTTTTTTTTTTTTTTTAGAGAGAATAATATTTTTATAGTTTATTATCCTGTCACTTGTACTATTTTCTCTGTCCCCCAAATTGAAAACGAATCATTTGGGTTCTAGAACTACACATTTATCCTTATCTAAAATTAATAAAATGATATCTGAATCAGGGATGATTCTTTTGAAATAGTGTTCCTTCCAAAATCGTCTTAACATGTAGAATTAAAGTAAGTGAACAAATTTTAGGGTGTAATAAAGAGGAGGAGAAACAAAATATACATACCCTGCCACATTTTTCTTCTTGTAAATTGCACCAATGAAATTATATTAGGAACATTAAACTTCAAAATCAAGGTTATGTAACTTGCAGGAAATCAAAACAGTTTAACACTTTCAGGCTATATTTATAACAACAAGGCATATATATTCTATCAGGTTCTACAAATCATAAAGGATCTTCTCCTTTGCCAGTCATACGTCTGAGGAAAATAATATATTCATTGTTCTAGTTATACTTTCTTTTTAAAAAATATGGTAATGTTTTCTACTCAGTTTGGCTTTACATCAGGTAGAATATGTTACTAAATCTGAGACTTATTTTCTTAATTGATTTTGAGAGAGAGAGAGATCTGTTTGTTGTTCCACTTATTTATGCATTCATTGATTGATTCTTGTATGTGCCCAGACTTGGAATCAAACCCACAACTTTGCCCTCTCAGGATAACTCATGAACCAACTGAGCTATCTGGTAAGAGGGCAGGGCAGGATCACGGAATCACGGTACAACATTGGCAGGCCTCAGATTTTAATTTTTTCACTTTAATAATAGCAGTTAAAGAACTTGACTCCGCTTACTGCCACTCCCTTTAAAGGCCTGTGTTCTACAAAACATAGAATATAGTTTTCTGTAGGGTTTCTTCTTGTATTGTGTCCTAACTTCTTTATACAAATAATAACCATGTATACGGACCAACTGAAGCATGAGGTGAATCTTGAACTGCAAAATCTAGGAAAATAGAACATTCAATGAAAAGGGAGGAGCTCATTCATATGTGTTGTGGGAGGGTGTGAATTACCTGAAAACAGCACAAGTCCACGAAATATTTGGTTATCATAGCCTTGGGGTGGGAAATACACACCACGTAACATTCATAACACAATAAACTATTAATAGATACATTTTTACAAAACTAATCTTAAGGAGACTGGGATTAGTGTTAAGTTTTTTTATCTGCCACTCACAAGAGAGATCAGGTTTCTGTAGTTTCAAGACTAGTTTGCTGAGCCAAAAAAAAGTAATAATAATCTTAAAAATAAATTTTAAAAATAGGTACCTATTCATCCTAATGAAAATTTACATTTAAAAATAAAGTAATAATACAATGTTAAACTGTAATAAACCCTTACCAGCAATTTTCTTTTTCTCACAAGTTAGAATACTTTTTTTTCCTTCACATCATTAAATTTTTCATTGTTGTGAAGGTACCTTCCATTGTTGTTAAGGTACCGGGGTCTTTCAATTACAGGTTTACTTCTTCAGTAATGTTGCCCAAGGATGGTTTGTTTTTTCCCCCTCTTAAACCAACGCTTTAAAATAAGCAGAGATGATTCAATACAAATTGTAGGTGAGTGTTTAGTATCTCTTTGGAGAAGTGTGATTGACCTCTCACAAAAAGAAATCCCTATCTAAAATATTAATAGGTACTTAATTAGCATTTGTAAAATTCCTTCTTACAGATCGTAAAGTTTAAGCGACTCTCACACTGTCATTTTCTATACCTTGAAAAAGTCCTGTTCACATAGGTTGATGAAAATCCTTAATAATCAGGTTACTTTTTTTTTTTTTTAAGTGCCAAGAGGATTCCTCTCAAGGCATTTTTTAAAAATATATTTTATTGATTATTCACAGAGAGGAAGGGAGAGAGAAAGAGAGCTAGAAATGTCGATGAGAGAGAAACATTGACCAGCTGCCTCTTGTACACCCCCTATCGGAGATGTGCCTGCAACCAATGTACATGCCCTTGACCGGAATCGAACCCGGGACCCTTCAGTCCGCAGACCGACACTCTACCACTGAGCCAAACCGGTTTCGGCAGGTTACTTATTTTTAACCAAAAAAAATTATTTGTTTTATTTGTGGAAAAATAAAGGATGGAAAACAAAAAGAATGGCAAATAATAATTATGTTTTCATAAATTTAGAACTTGCCCACTATTTGCAATTTCCCTTTTGCTGGGTAATTTTATGTAGTTTACTTTTAGAGCTTTGCAAGAACAAGTTTTATTCCAAATCTTTGCAATTTTGTAGTTTAACTTGCTTAAGGATTCAAACAAGTTAAAGAATAAATTATTGAGATCTTTTTATCTTATTCTATAGTAGTTAAGCCACATATATTTAGTAGACATTCAGGATATGGTATAAGGCATTAGCTCTTAGAGACATTTAAAATAAGACAATAAACAGATTTTAAATGAAAAATTTATAAGTTAAACTAAAAATGGTTCTGTCTCTTCAAATAATTTGATCAGATTGGTCTGATTTAGCTTCAAGCCTGCAGACAATGAATTTAATTTTCATGTATCATCTCCATGTGTTCAGATAATCATGTGTGTTTTTCTGTAGTACTTTAAAACCAATCTACACCCAAAAAGCCAAAGACACAAAATTTCAGTTACTTATTTGATTTGCAAAAGGAATTGTTAAAGTTTGGAATGTTTTATAAAATAATTCATAGTAATGTTTCTTCAAATGAAGAGTTTTACCTCTTTAGGATTTAAATATTTATATTGGTCAGATTTCAACACATGAAACTGCAGGAATGTATTTACTGAAAAAGATAAAACACACATGATTGCATGTCATACATATAAAAGTGTTTTTCTATGCACAACTCTCTGTAATCTATGAATTATCTCATGTGATGGTTTATAGCTAACCCATGAAAAATAATGATGCCAAATAAGAACATTATTCATATTTCTAATTTAAATTGACTATTCACCACCTCTATTTTTGAAAGTTGATTTTTAAATACTATAAATCAGAACAAAATTATATAACCCTTCCCTCGCTGAAATTCTGTATTTTTATTTTCTATTGAATGTGCCCAGTGGTTATTTTTCCTTTTACACCATATTTATTTAAAAAATATTTTTATTGATTTTTCAGAGAGGAAGGGAGAGGAAGAGAAAGATGGAAACATCCGTGATGAGAGAATCATTGACTGGCTGCCTCCTATACACACCCCACTGGGGATGGAGCCTGCAACCCAG